AAGATGGCCTCTTGTGCCCTACAGCTGAGGGGAGCAAGGCTTTTTTCCCCCCTTAGGGTGGGCAATGGTACTTGGGTTTTTTTTGCCTTCCTCTGCAGGATTGAGCACAGCCCCTTGCCAGGGCTACTTTGGGCCATTTTGGCTAGGTTCTTGCCTGCTGCTCTTGCACCTCCAAGTTGCCATTTGTGCCCTAGCTCTCTCTGGCTCTCTTTGCCATTGCAAGTTTGTAGTGGGAGTGAGCTCTGGTATTCCCTTGGTTCCATTTCCCCAGGTGTTCTTGCTCATGCAAAACAGTCTGTGTGTGGAAGGGCTCCAGTCTTGCTGCACCATCAGGAGCTGCCATGTTTCAGCTCTCCCTGCATACAATACAAGCGTGGGGCAGGCATGAGAGTGCTTTTCATGTATCACTAGCCAAGAAGCACAGCAGAGCAATTTTTTGCAGCCAAAAACTATGCTTGTCATCCATATGTGTCATACTTTTGAAAATAGCCCAGGGTACCACACACCTCTTATTCTTTTGTGTGCGATCAGTACCGATTCTCATTCTTCAGGTTCTTGTTCCTCAGGAAACAGGGACTGCTTGGCATTTACTCCTGCTTCTATATTCTGTGACTTGCCTTTGCCAGACTGCAAGGGATGGTTTTTTTCAAGCTAAACAAAAAGGCATCAGCCTGCAGAAAAATAAAATCCTGTTTCCACTTGTAACCTTTGTGGGATGTGTCCTTGAAAGTGTTTTTGGAGCTGGCGCTTCAGGCAAATAAGTCTCCTTGTTGTTCAACTCATGGTGAGCACAGGGAATAGAATAGTTATGCTGTGTTATGCATATAGTCATACACGACAAGCTGTGACCTATGTCTGAGGGGTCCACCCAGGAAAGCAGCTCTCTGCAGCGTAGGTCCCAGGCCCATCTAGGAGGCAGGGTCAGAGACAGGCACATCTACACCATCACTCAAGCAGGGACTGTAGGCCTAGGGGAGGCCACTCCCAGCCATTGAGGCCTATGAGCACCCTCAGGACCCTGGCAGAAGTAGACTTGCACTGCTCGTGTGCTCTCCCTTAGACATTTACGGTTGGCCGCTTTGGTGACCAAGTATTGGGCTAGATGGACCTTTGCTCTGATGGAGTTCTGTTGTTCTCAGGCTCTTTTGTTTTATGTTTTTCCAAGGGACTTGTGTCGGGTATTTCTAAAAATGACTACAAGGAGGACAAAAAAAAAATTCATGGGGAGATAACAGGTATTGCTTACCTCAAAAAGGCTTGCAGCCATTTAGTTCAGGAGCATGTCCTGCTTCAGAGGGCTTGATCTTTGAGCCTTGCTAGTGTCAGATGTGTGAGTTTTTGCCATCCTGTGGGAAACCCAGCTAAACTGGATGAACACAGAAGACTTTCAAAAACCGTATTTCACACATGCTTTTTTCAAATTTGTGCAGATTGTGAAAGGATTTCAAGAAGATCCATGGTTCTCACCCCCATCACAAGGTACATGCCTCCTTTCCACAAAGGGACAGAGCCAATGCCTAGGTTGGGACATGATTACCCATTCAATCCCTTCTGCTAGTGCAGGGCTGGGAAGAAATGTCATCAGAGACTTCCTCAGCATGTACTGCTAGGGAAAGGAGGAGGTAGGAAGAAGAATAGAATATTTTTCAATTGGAAGAGACCTACAATGGTCATCTAGTCCAACTGCCTGACCAATTCAGGGCTGACCAAAAGTTAAAACATAGTATTAAGGGCATTGTCCAAATGCATAACTTGGGAGCAATACAGAATACTGCTGTTCTGAGTACTGTCATGTTTTAAACTACTGGCTCTGTGAGCCTGTCCGCGCTTCTCAGCCTCTTTGTATAGCTAGGCTGAATATGCCTCCCTTCTTGTGGGGGCTGAGTATGGGCTTAGGCTTTTACTGCCATTTCGGCATTAGAATCTGGAACATGGAGATTTCCTTGTTTTTAGTGCTAATGTTTGCTGTGCTATATACACACACATATGTGTGTATATACCTATGCATAAATGCATACCTATATATACATATATAAGTTTAGTGATTATCATTTTACACATTGGTTGTGACTGTCACTTGACACCTCAACCAACTGATACAAAAAGAAATAGAATCCAGTTTAAGGAGTAACATTAAACTGTGCAAACCACAATGCTGCCTTCTTGGAGTCCCCTGCTCTTCTGTTAAACAGTTTCTAACTTCTGAAATGACTGGATCACAACAGTTGTCTTCTCTGTGTAACTTCAGCTCTTGTTTAGAGACACTCTCCTCGGAGCATAGGGTTTTTCAGAAAAATTATATGTTATTGTATAATTTAAACTGTGTGGTAATGCCTGTCCCCAAAGGGATTACAAAGAAATTGCACTTGAAAAGTTTGGTTTTGCAAATTAAATGCTTTTGCAGATTTTTAAAACTATACCACAATATTAAATATAATATTAAAATTATATCACAATATTAAAAAAAAAAAGAACTAGGAGTCTTTTAATTTTACAAGTAGGATTTTATAATGAGAACCGGTGCTGATACTGAGAGGCTTCTTATACTTTTGGATCCACAACAGAGGTCTATAAATGTCAATTTCTGATGCTATAACTTTTTTGTATTGTGCTGCTGCCTAGAATGTAGATTAACATAACTTGGCCTTCATGGCATGGTGGTGTTTCTCCTTATGTGGAAGAGCTATAAACTTACAAAAAGATTGTATCCAAGTTCTGTGTTGACTGTGTTTTCCTAAGAAGAAACTGTGCAATATTTTACTGTTAACACTTGCAATGTATTTCCTGTAAATTTGCTGCTTTATGTTTCTATATGTCAAAGACTTGATAGTAACTGTGGTTTTTAGTTTATGAACTTTAATAAAGCTACATAATCAGCAACTGAATCCAGATGTAGGCTTAATGATAGCATGTATTATTTCTGCGCTAATCTGTAGCTTTCCTTTACTGAAATACATACATATAGCTGGAACTTGCCTTTGCAAGGTGTGATTGCTGATGTGCATGATGATTTAGGAAGAAAAATTCTCACATGCATCTAAGCAGGCTAAGATTCTTCAAACCCTCTCTTGCTTATACTTTTCCTGCTTTCCATTTACTCTTCTCTATATTGCTGATTTGTTTATTAAGCTGAAGGTGAAGCTGTCAAGAAAACTAAGTGGTTACTTCAGACTCTTAGGGAAAATAGTTATCTGTCTTTCTGAAGAGTAAAATTTTTGAAAGTACCAAAAAGACTTCAGATTCCCAGCTCCCCATTTCAAAAGTGACTAACTTCTAAGTTCCACTGCATCTCTGTGGTGCTTGTGCTACTAACTGTGCTCATTTTAGAAGTTGTTTGTTTGCAAATTTTCTGATCTTCGGGACTGTACTGTCTGCTGAACACTGTGATCTTGAATAAATAAAGCTTTGGATTCTTGGAGAATAAAACAACAATGCCTTCACTATTTGCTCAGCGCATACCTTCTTTTCTCCCCCCGCCCTCCCCTCCCAGCCTCAGCGTTTTGTGCGGTGGAGCTGAGCTGCAGGCGCGCGCCGAGCTGGGGCACAGTGCGAGCGCTCGGCCACTCTCTGCGGGGGACAATGGCTGCAGTGTCGCCAGGGCCTACACGGGGGCTGTGGATGGCGTTTCTGTGGAATTGCAGTGGTGCATGGCATCTACTGAAATCTGTAGGATAAGCAAATGCAAAAAATTCCTTTAAGCTGCCAGGCCTCTGTAAATGCCATGTTGTGGCCTCATTGATAAATGCCACAAATAGCAGAACAGTCATGAAGGAGTTGGTTCAAACCGGGAGACTGCATGCCATTCATGTTCAAATTTTAACTGTGGAAAGAAGTTCTCATCTTCCCCGCCCCCGAGTATGTGTTGTGAGCCGTCTGCTCTAAAACTTTGTCTCCTATCAGCCGCCATCTCCAGCACAACAAATCTTTTCCCTAAAACCTGGCACACAGAAGTAGGGCCTGGGCCTGCTCTTCGTTACCAGCACTAGGGAGATATGGGATGCCCTTGTTCATGTTCTCAGTTGCAGGTACAAGAAGAACAGATTAAACTTCAGGACTAATTGCCATTTGCTTAAGCTGTAGTAATACTGAGCTATAGCAAGCAGCCTTTTTAAGAGTGTGCTAAAATGATGATCAGTCTTTGATTACTATTATAAAGTAGCAGACTACAATATTGAAACTAACCTCAAAAATTTGATCTTAATTTTTTTTTCTTTGTTGCTGACTTCCACAAATATTATTTTTAGGAAGAATAAACTTCTTTAAGACTGGTATCTAATGGATTTATTGGGTACTGAGAGAGTTCATAAATCTACAGATAGAAGGCAGCCCTATTTTCTTGTTTTCTGCCCCTCAAAACCTCTGCAGTATAGACAGCAAGACACATTGCCTATGTTCTGCTTACACTTGTATGCTACTTCTGCTGGTCTGATCACCAACTTTTAGTGGTCTGCTTGTTCTTTTTGTCTCTTGAAGACGATAACGGGCTTTATTTTTCTTGGAGTTCATATCACGTGATTCATGAAAGTCATTGAGATGCATGCCCAAATGCTACAAATGCAGAAGTTAACAGAAATTAACACTGTAAGAAGTAGATTAATTTTTAGAAGATAATAATATAGAAAAAGTTGGCTCACATGAAGAAGTCTTCTGTTATTTTAAAAATAAAGATCCAGAAAAACTAAGAACTATTTAGTGACGCTTAATGGAGCAAAATCTTTAAATCAGTTTAGGTACTGAATTTTCCATGTGCATTCAAGTCAATTTTTTCGATGAATTGAAAAAAATTGAAATGTCTTTATTTTTGTCAGTGATATGCATAGCTTACAAAATATGGTGAACAGCGTATTATAAGAAAGCTACAGCTTTGTAACCTATTTTATTGATATTTTAAATTTTCCTGACTGATACCATTGAATAACAGTACCTGTAATTAAGAATTTTACTACTGATAGTATTTTTCTTATTTTTTCTTATTTTTTTCTTTTGGTTTCTTTTTTCAGAAAAGAGCAAAAGGCCAAGTGCTGTTTGACAAAGTGTGTGAACATCTCAAATTACTGGAAAAGGACTATTTTGGGCTGTTGTTTTATGAGAATTCAGAACAGAAGGTAAGCCTATATAAGGGGTTTGTTTATTTGTTGTTCTACATTGCTACTGACTTCAATAGTTTCATGAGGTATATTGTATTCAATGCATACCACTACAAACATTTGAGTAAACTGTTGCAAAATGTCAGTTCTAGTCTGCTGTAAACATAAAACATGTGCAAGATACTGATGTGTATGTTGATACCTAACAAGGTGCCTATTTATTATTTAGAGTGGGGGAAATATTTAAATTATCTGCATTTTTGAGAAAACTAATTGAGTAATTGCTAGGCTTTATAGTAAAACAGTATGCTATCCTGCAAGTGAAGATAGGAAATTTTAACTAATAACTTTGCCTTAACAGTCTGACAACTCCCCAGATTTCTGAAAACTTTAATTATTTGCTTTTTTTTTTTTAAAAACAAGCAAAGAAAACTTTGGATGATAAAAAATAATAATAAAAAAATAATCTGCTATGTGACTTTCCAATAATTTAGCTGCCTTTTCTCATGTGTTTTTAATAGTGCTTTGAACAGGAACATGAAAGAAATCTTGCACCTAAGTCTGTAACTATTAGGCCTTTGAATTCCTTTTTTATTAATTTTAAGCTTAAAGAAAATATTGGCATTTGTAAAGATGAGACTGGAGCTAGTCTATCACCAGTATTGGATGCTAATTTTACAAATTAATGGTGTTTTGATATGACTACATTCAAAAGGATTTCTTAGATACCATTTGGTAACTTATTTTCAGTCATCTTTTGCATTTGCTTACATGATGGATGGTCGAGCGCATCTAGATTGCTGAGCCGAAAAAAATCTTAAATCAGTCGGTGGCATGCATTCCACTGATTACCGAAAGCCAATTTAGCTTTTCCCAGGCATCTGATCATTTACAGTTAGTTATGGGCCAGCTGTTGCTCCGTCCATGAACTAAAGATATACCTGCAGTCGCCTTTTCCCTCTTAAAGAAAGAGACTAATAATTACAAATTGAAGTGGAAGAAATTTTATTTTTTTTAATCTCTGTATTTGTAGCGGGAAACGTCATTATATGGGTACTATACTTAGTCTAGAAGCTTTTGCTTATTTGCTTTGCTGTCATCTTTCTCATTCCGCTATTGTGTTTGAAATGAAGTCTAATTTAGTGGTCTGAATAAATCTGAATTTCTGACAACTTCCATTCAAATACAGTTGTTTTCTAGAGTTATTTGCTTTGCTGCAAGGCTTTCTGTGCAGCATTGAGCAAAATATTAAATCCCTTTGTATTAAAGATCCCCATATATAAACTGGTCTTGATGTATTTTTACTTGGATACTTTATTTTTATTCTTGATTTGTAGACCATTTATAGAAATGATAACTTCTTTGGTGTAACAATGTAGAGCATCTTAGTTGATCCTCTTGAGTAATATCATAATCTTAATTATTATTTGTTAGTATCACATGTTGTCCCTTTATTTGAGCTACTCACTATTGAAAATCTATACTGTACACACACAGCATGATAACATAAAACAACAGTCTGATCTCTGGCAAGAGAGGAAAGGTCTAATAGCAGACCTGAGATCCTTGAACTATACCAGGAAATAGCCCACTTGAGTAGATCCTAGGAGGTGGAATAGGGCACCTTTGGCTTTTGAAAGTAGAGCAGGAACATCTGGATTGGTGTAGAGTTATGTCTTTTTTCTTTTTTTTGCCTTGGGTTTTTTTTTTTTTTGGTCTTTTTTAATGTGCTTCTAGTTGGACTAAGAGATTTCTTGGTATTGCTCCATCATGTGAATGGAGGAAGAGTACCGCACCTTAAAAGGAGCACATCTGGTTTTCCATATGTCTTTATCCTTGGAGATACTAAAAACTTGACTGGATATGAGCCTGGGCAACCTGATCTAATTCCAAGCTGGCTGTGCTCTGAATCACAGTTGGACCAGTTATCTCCAGAGGTCCCTTTCAGCTTGAATGAGTCCTTGAGCTCCCTATCCATTGACTATGGAAGTGCTACTGTAGCAACAACACCCATAAATGAGGTATTTACATAAATATATAAATGAGAAACATATGGGGTCCCTGTGGTTCTATTATTTATATGCCCAGGCTAAGTCTAGCACTCTATTCAAAAGAAGAGTAGACTACTTGTCACACAAATTATGGACAGCAGCAGGCTTTTATTTAAAAACTTCTGGAGAAATCTGGTCCAATTTGTTACGAAGACTAAAGAAACACAATTGTTGGATTTTGTCTTCTTCATACAAGTAAGGTTGTAGTGTTATTTGGAGAAACTTAAAAAGGAGTCTTTCCTAGCAGATCTGCATTTTCTACCTCCTACTTTCTATTGCAGGATTAAGCTTAATTTATCGTGAACTGCAGGAACTACAAGATTTTGAATGCCAGTGAGTAACAGTGAAGGAGGGGTTTATTTTAGGTATTTCCTGGTTGGATAGCCCATATGCTTTAGATTGTATCCAAAGTGCCATTATATGGATGGTACTATGCCTCTGGTGCAGCCCTAAGTTGCGATTACCAGGTGAGTGGGAACACCCAGGTTTTCAAAGAAGAATTTGAAAACATGGGCTTTGGCATGAACTAGTCACTTGGCTAAGTGCTTGCAGTCTTTTGTGGGTTGGACAGTCTGTACTATAACATGCACATTTATATAGGCTTGCTTATTTTTACTGCTATTGTCACTCAAAGTTACCTAATTCAAAAGCTACTGCTTTTATACAACACTGTTTGGAAGTTCTTACACCACGTATGGTATAAGCATAGCATGATAACGTGAAGGGTAGCTACTGCAGTGTCTTAATATGGCAAAACTACTGGTTGTGTGCTGAGAAAGTTCTCTCTCCCCAGCTGCCATTTCTTTCGTGCTGGTAAGTTTGAAATTGTATAGCTACACAGAATATGCTCAGTAAGACTGTAGCACTCACTTTTGTTATTAAAGGGATCTTTTTTAATACATGGGTGAAGACTGTTTAAATTGTTTTCAGTATGTTAAATATTTGTGGTATGTTTTTAATGAATGCTTCTGTCTTAGGACTTTTAAGTGTCTCAGCTCTTTTTTCATTCTTTTTAAAAAAGAAAAAAACATTTAACATTTTATGTTTTGATTTAATTAATAGGTGGAGTGTGGGGGGTTGATTAGTTGTGTTCAGCAATAGCTGCCAAAGAAAGTTTGGGGACTTGGAACTTTTACTGGTTTTAGGGCATTCTTTTTTGTTCACCTCTGTAGTAAGTTTGAATTCTTTTTTCATCTCAGTACCAGTTCTTTCTGATGCATTTTTTTCTCCTGTTATGACTGTTGCCTCTTCAGATTAAAATGCCACAAATCTCTGACCTCCAGGCCAGTCAGTACTAAATGCTGAATGATGTGTTTTTCTCATTCTTGTGCACTCATCACAGCCACCCATTTATGAGCCAGCTGTTGAACTCGACGGCAGCTGTGGGGTGTGGAAACTGAATGCCAGGCACTCTTTTCAATTAGAGCTGCTCCCTAATGCACCATTGGGGTACCATTGGAGGAGGAGTCCCATTAACTTTTCTCTATGGGTGTTCTGTGCAGCTGGGAGAGATGTTATGTCTTCAAATCAGACTGATTTTTGTTAGCTTTAATACACATTTTAAAACTATTTAGGTCAAATTACTCATTAATGATTCCTTTCATTGTTTTGCAAATGTTAAATTTATTGGTCTAAAGTTTAGTTAGTGATTTCATTGCATTACACGCTCAAAAGTTCATGAATGCTCCATTCACACTGTAATTAGTCTGCAGAAGCATTAGAAAAGCTTCTGCTCTTATGTTCTGGGCACCAGCTGGAAATGCTGCTTTTCTGGATTTGTACAAAATACTTTTGTACTGGTAGAGAACATTTTGTTGTTCTTTGACAATTCATTACTTTGTCTTATCTATAACCTTAACATTCACAAATTAAACAAATAGATTTCTGCCTACTGGAGCACAGTAGTGTGTATACACTTTGTCTTTTGTTTTGGAAGACAGACCTGTCTATTCTGCATTAAGAGGTCTATTTCAGGGTAGATTCTTTCAATAGTGTTTGTTTTGTCCATAACAAAAGGCACAGATGCAAAAAACCCCACCCCTGTAATTATGCATATAAATGGAATATAAGCATCTGATTTTATTTGACAGAACAGTAGGATCATAGATGCACAGAATCGTTTAGGTTGAAAAAGCCCTACCATTAACCTAACACTACCAAGTCCACCACTGAACCAATTAAGGGTAAAGTAGTAACTAATTTCATGTTTCCTGGCTTGGTGGCTGGATTATTTTTCAATGAAAGTAAAACTAGAATAGAATAATGAACATTGGAAAGGACCTTTAAGATCAGCAGTCCAACCGTCAACCCAACACCACCATGCCCACTAAACCATGTCCCGAAGTGCCACGTCTACACATTTTTTGAACACCTCCAGGGATGGTGACTCCACCACCTCTCTGGGCAGCCTGTTCCAATGCTTGACCACTCTTTCAGAAAATAAATTTCTCCTAATATCCAATCTAAACCTCCTCTGACACAACTTGAGGCCATTTCCTCTTGTCTTATCGCTAGTTACTTGGGAGAAGAGACCAACACCCACCTCACTACAACCTCCTTTCAGGTAGTTGTAGAGAGTGATAAGGTCTCCCCTCAGCCTCCTTTTCTCCAGGCTAAACAACCCCAGTTCCCTCAGCTGCTCCTCATAAGGCCTGTGCTCCAGACCCTTCACCAGCCTTGTTGCCCTTCTCTGGACACGCTCCAGCACCTCAATGTCTTTCTTGTACTGAGGGGTCCAAAACTGGACGCAGGGGGACAATCACTTCCCTGCTCCTGCTGGCCACGCTATTCCTGACACAAGCCAGGATGCTGCTGGCCTTCCTGGCCACCTGGGCACACTGCTGGCTCATGTTCAGCCGGCTGTCGACCAACACCCCCAGGTCCTTTTCCACTGGGCAGCTTTCCAGCCACTCTTCCCCAAGTAATGAAAGTTGGTGGCAAAGTCTGCTTCCAGTAAGCTTACTCCAGGTTTGGAAAATCAGAAAATGAACTGCATAACTTCTGTAAAGACAGAATTATTATTCTCATTTTGCAGCATATTCTGTATTGTATGTTCTTTTCTCCTACTTTATAGCGATAAAAGATAAAGCACTGAAAGTAAAGTATACTCAGGAATCCTTGTTTTCTGCTGTAGTTATGCCATCCTATATTCTATACTTACTTACTTTATTTATACTATACTTTATCTAAAATTTAAGCATTTAAGCTACTTAAGTTTATCTTTGGAATTGGAAGAATATGGCTGTGTATCATTTCAGAATGGAATTTGTGCCAAAACTGAAAACCTAGGGTGATAACAGTAGCTGAAGTGAGTCTCAGCTAAAATTATTCGAAGAATTCTGTTGTCTTCCAAGGCCTTTCCATGTCAAGGGTCTTCCAACAGGTAGCAGTTCTTCTGACTTAAGCAGAATATACGCTATGCAGACTTTTTGGAGGAGTGTTTTATATCTCTTCTTTTGTAACAATGTGCATCCCTGGAAGAATTATAGTAGCTATGAAATGTAGAGGTTGCAGACTTAAAGCAAGGAGTGTGAATTTTTTTTTTTTAAATTACATCTGTAAAAATTATAAAAAGGGTTTTTTGCATTTAATTTGTAAACAGTATTTGTCTAATATATACATTCTGCATTTGTGATGAAATCAACTTGGACCAAGGTCATTTACAACAGGGAACTTAGTATTTTGGGTCATATTCATAGAAGCCACGTCCTTTATCAGCAGAGGTGATCTACATTAAGGATTTGCACTAGTGCAAAAACATGTAGTTCCACATTCTCCTAATCCATACAGACCCATAAAATTGTAGCCTAGCATGTTTTGTATCCTTGAAATAAGTTTGACTTCAGGTGGAAAAGCCTGTAATAAAGGCTGAGGGATACAGTCTTGGAAAACAACTGTTGCATCTGGAGTTTGGTACCATAGACTGAAAGGTGAGTCACGTTATACCCAGTATCCACTGCTCGGCTAGGTTAGGCAAGAAACATTGGTAGAGAGATGCCTTTAGCAACACTTGTGCTGTCACTGAGGTCCCCTCTGACTTTAAAGCTGCTAATATGTGTAGTGGTTTGTGGAAATGCAGATGTTGTCCTTGACCTTACAAGTCATTTGCTGCTTCTTCCCTACTCTGCTCATCTCTGTCTTTGAAATGTGCTAAGTCCTGCTGGCAGGCTGGTTGTGTGCATGTGTGTTTGTTCCATGTGTATGCTTGTGTATGTGTGTCTGGCCATGAAATAAATGTTCAAACGCTGAATAAAGTAAATTCTCAGTAACTACAATTAAAAGGCTTATGTTTCTAGTCTGTCACTCAATCTATTTTCTAACATCTATGGGTAACATTAGTAAACAGGATTGTCTGAGTTACTGATGAATATACGTTACTGATTTCTTAGTCTCACTTCGCAAAGTTAGATTTTTGGATGATCGGTCACAAAAAAGTCTCTTTGCACATATCAGTAGTAACTGAAATGCTGTGAGCTGTTTAATGGGCTGCACGGATGATATAAAAATATTTGGATAGAACACATATAATAGTGAGGCATCTAAATATGAAAAACTTTATTTGCATTGCCTAAAATAGAGCTGAGTGTCTAGATTTGAACCTTGCCAGTGTATCAGTGTTAACATAAGACATGTTCATAGAGAACTTTGTCTTGGGGGAGGTCAGAAAAAAAGCATGAAATTTGATTAGTTTTTTCCAAGCACCTTTGAATGTTATCAGAACAAAAAAGTACACGCCTTAAGACAAACAGTGGGAATAATAAGCCTCTGGAGTTCAAGAGAAATATCGTCTTAAGTAACTCTGTATGGGTGTGTAAGCACGGACGTG